GCATGATAATTCATTTGACAAGAGTAAAGAATAATGATTTGCATATAATTTGAGAGAAACAAAAATATTACTGAAATAAAGAACCATGTATACTTACAGAAGTTTGGAAATTGATTTATCTTGCTAGACCTTCTTCCTTCTATGTCACCACGATTAATCACTTATAAGTATAAATTTCATTTGAAAATCTACAAAGTAATTTAAAACAAAATCTTCTTTTTCTAAATTATTCTAGATTATCTCTTTCCTTCACTCTCTCTTTCTCTCTCTTTTTCTTAATTACAAACATATGAATTTAATTTGCTTAATCATTTATCAAAATTCCCCTTACCTTACATTAACCTTAATTCCTAATCATTAATATAAAGAAACCATTAACATAAATAAACATTAAATCTTAATTCCTTCTTATCTAATGACATGAATATCATTATCATAAATCAATGTTATTAACATAAACGAATGTCATTAACATAAATCTTTAATCTATTATTAACCTAAACTTTAATTAACATTAAGTTAATTATTTTCGGATTTATTAATATTAAAAATTAGGGAAATATCATTTTGTGCGAAAAATTCAATTTATACCCTTAGAAACCCTCTTAGAACCCTTAAGAAACCATATTTACAAAGATACTTCCAAAAATTCCAATTAAAGAGAAAAATCCTAATTTTTTTTTAAATCTCCAAAAATTTCATTTTCATCGTTAAAAAGTTCTCCTAATCCTTCACTATTCATTCCTAAAAGAAATTTGGAAGAAAAATGAGAATTTGGAAAACCCTAAAATTTTCTTTTCCAAAATACTTGAGATTGAGAGGGATTCATTCCAAAATAATCATACCTGAGTAATCCTCTCATCGTCCCCTTCAATTTGAACTAAATTTCTCCCCGGAAGATCGCCGCCGAAACGCCCTTGCGGAAGCCACCGTCCGCCCGACCGTCCGCTCGTTCACGCGTGAAATGAGAAGGGAGGGCTCGGTTTTGCTATATTAGGGAGAAAGGGTTTTGCAAATGTCCATTATACCCTTACTTAAATAATTCCGGCAATTAAATTGATTAGGGGCAAAACCGGTATTATGAAGATTCCGAAAATTTTAATTCCAAAAATAAGCAAAATTGGGTATGGGTTATATATATCAAAACGATCAGAATTTTGCGTAGGATTTTCTAAAATTATTTCTATTAAATTTCGTTAGCATTAAAATTTTTGCTTAAATCTCGCCGCGGCGCTTTGAAAAACGTGCGAGGTCTAAAACGGCATTTTCGGGTTTTACAAGCCAGCCACGGGAACAGGAGCCAGGCAAGACCGAAGGCCAAACAGAGAGGGGAAGAACCATGACCACTCCAATTATGAGCTAAAAAGGTAGCTGAACTACATAGCAACATAATGAGCTGATTTTAGAAGAAAAACATAGCAGCTCACCAAAAGGGCAGCTAAACCCGAGACAACCAAGCCCAAACCAAGGGAACCAAATCAGCCCAAGAGCCAAGGCACCAAAGAAGCTAGCACACACAAGGCAAAACATGTCCAAAGCACAACCTACTCATGATCATATGTTGCCTTCCATCATAGGGTAGAAAATAAAAAAACAAAAATAAACATAGCATTCAAATTAGAATAGTTCAATAAAACTCAAAAAAAAAAAAAAAAATTTGCATGCATCAACCTGTGACGATGACTCCATTGTGACCAGCTTGTCTATGAGAGCTACATGACCATCCATTGTTTTGGCGGCTAGATCAATATGATTAGTTTCAAAAGGAGGGTTAGATAACTTGGTGAAATAAAGGTTATGAGAGAGTAATGACGATGCTTTAAACAATAAAGTCTACCATTAGCCGAGCCTGAATAGATTTTAGGGAGATACGATGGTTGGAGAGGAACTTGATAATTATAAATTTCATGTTCTATTTGTTCTAAATTGCATGTTTAGCATAAAAGGGATGTTCCTGAAGAAGTTCTACCCAATTTTCTTTTAGGTAGTTGTACTTTGGATTGATTTCTTGCTTGATTTTGCATATAAAAGTTTAAATAAGAGAGTTTATACACAAGGGATATTATCATATTGAACATATATGGACCGGAGAAGATTCCATATTGCTCTGAAAGTTTCATGGAACATGATGGTGGAGAAGATATTTGATTCACAGTTGTTGAGCATGCATGTTAGAATAGCATAGTTAGAGGCCTGCCATTTGATGTATTTAGTTGTATCTGTTAGGTTAGGCTTAAAATTAAGATGTTGGAATTTTCATGTGTTTCTATGAGAAAATGAAAACTTTTAAGTCTATGAAAGATGATTGGTACCATTTACTTTATTGGAAATATCAATAGTAGAAAAGCATTTTGTTTTCGAGAGAGTAGTTGAGTTAGTTTGTTGGAACCCATGGTTTAATTCATAGGCTGTAGATATTCTATTGTTGTTAGCACCCTAGATGTTTTTACCATGGATTTTTGCAACCAAGGCATTAATTTTTGTGTTTATTGCCACATAAGCATTAATGTAGGGATTCATGCAACCTATCCTTTTTTTAATACGTTTTTTTACCAAGGCATTAGTTCCAACTTTTGGCCAACTATTTCACCTGCTTCAACCTTACCCCTTTGGATGGAGATTTCTCATAGAATTTTGGCCATGATCAGACTTAGGAGAATATGAATTCATCAAACAACTCATTCATAAAAGCTTGCCGTCCATCTTATAATTACTTAAACTTCTAGGTGATCTTGATGACAATGTAGTGTGGTACCTTGCTAGTGGACAAGGAAGAAGGGTGAATTAATTCATTAAGTTCAATTAGTAATGATACATAAAAAATTTGAAAACTTTGGGTTCACTTCTGTTTGACTAAAAAAAAAATAGAAAAGAAGATCGAAGCAACCGACATACCTCGTAGTCGGCCCCACACCACGAAGCGAAGCAACTGTTCGCTAAATAACCGCCCGCTCATCTTTTAAAAGCAACGGACAAAGAGCAATGGAGCAGATTCATGCCCCAATTGTCCGACTTCGTTGCTTCGCTCTAGAGGGAGAGATTGCACGGATTGCTCCTTTGGTTCCTTCGTTGTTGTCCGACTTTGCTTCACAGGAGACAGAGATTGCACGGTCACTCCTTCGGCTCCCTCCTCGATGTTCGACTTTGGCTCCCCGTCGCCGTTCAACTTCGCTTCTTCGGCTTCGTTGCTGTTCGTCTTCGTTGATTCGCAGGAGGTGTAGAGATTGCACTGTCGCTTCTTAGGCTCCCTCGTTGCTGTTCTTTTTCGGTACTTCGTAGGAGGTGCTGAGATTGCACCGTCGCTTCTTCAGTTCCTTCCCTGTTGTTCGACTTTAGTTCACAGGAGGCACAAGGATTGTACGAGTCACTTCTTTGTGCATACCCTAGCCAACCCGATTGGGCTCCCTCTCTCCCTTTATTATATTGTATATTATATATAATATAATATGATAATATAATGTTATATATTATATTATCATGGTAAAATAATATAATATTATATATATATTATAAAAAAAGAAAGTACAAAGAAAGGAAAAAAAAGAGAAGAAAGAATAGAAGATGGAATTTCAAACAAGTGTCGAAGACCCGTGCCATCGATCTTACATCTGGGCGGATGGTTTTAAAATTCGAAGACCTGCACCGTTGATTTTTAATTCGGGCAGATAGTTTTAAATCTGAAGACCCTGGGCCGTCGTATCTTAGATCCAGTCGGGATGGTTTTAATTTGAAGACCCTGCACCGTTGACCTTAGGTCCGGGTAGGAAGAAATTTTGACAGATGCCTTCCCGATTTCTCCCTCGGTGGGGACGAGACGTCGGGAGGCTGTCGAAATTTTGAGAAAATTATAGTATTTTTTTGGAATAATTATTGAGCAATTAAATTTAAATATTTGATTAATCAATTGAAAAAATTAATTAATCAAGGTTAATTTAAATTAATTGATTGATTAAAGAAAAATTCAAGTTTTAAAACGCAATGACATTAAATACAATAATTTTTAAATTTTTGAGAGTTTTAAAATCTGAGAGCTATTATTTAAAAAGAAAATTAAAGATTTTTGGTAAATTAAGTTAATTAATCAAAATTGAATTATTTGTTAAATAAAAAAATGCAATAAATCAAAATGGGGGGAGAATAATTTTTTCACTATTTGACATATACAGACCCAACCCTGTACAAACAACTCTCAAAATAATTATATGCTTTCAAAACTCTCCAAACCCCTCCCAAACAAACAACTCTCAAGTCTCTAACAACAGTTCAAATCCAAAATCTCAAGCTTTCCAACAACTCAACTCTCAACTTTGAAACACTCAGCAAGATCTCCACAACAAGGCTCCAACTCTCCTGTCTGAGATCCCTACAAACAAAGAGTGAAGTTCATTAAACATTGAAATAATTTAATATTTAAATAAATGCTAAAATAAAAAAGGCTACTGGTAAAATTCTACTAGTATACATGTATTGAAAAGAAGTTAGCAAATATAAGAAGAAATGTACTGTAGTAAAAATACTAATGTAGCAAAACACTAAGTGTCAAACAACGGGTGTCAACTCAACAAACATACAATTAAATTCTAAACTTCTGGGCAGCCTTGTTTATAAGAACTTGGTTGTAAGGCCCACTAACCGGCAACTTTTAAAGGAAAGAAGTAAGTCCGACCTTAGGGGAAAGTTTTAGGTGAAATTGATCTAACCCTTCACTCTCAATTAAAACCTTGGCAACTTCTGATAGAAGCTGTTAGTCCGACCTCTGAGGAAAATATTTAGGTAATAACACAACCCTAGACCCCTCACCCAGGCATCCTAGCCAATTGATTGACGATACTGAAACTTGTCACACATAAAAATAACTTTAAATTCTAACTATATTGATATACGCATTATTTATATAACAACCACTAAAAAAAATACCATCAATTTCCTTTTTTATTTTCTTGTCTTCTTTTACTGCCATTGGGAACCAAAAATTTTTAAAAATTATTCGTAATGTTTAGGTCAAGCACGTTTCTACAACCACAACTGATGAGGATAGTTGGTGCTGGGAGCGGAACAATATTGACTTGGATGTTGGCACACAGGATGTTAAAGGAGTTGTTTTTGTTCAGAAAGGTTACTGGGTTAGTATAGTTTCTACTCATGATACAGAAACACAGATCGAACAACATGATTCATCCCGCATGGATTTGATGATTAAGGTAGCCTTTCTGTTGATCCTCAGTAGTTATTAAAAAAGAAGTCGAGAATAAAGGCCTAGTTCTGACTTCAATTATGCGGAATATTTTTCCAGACTTCGACTAAAGGTTTTTGAATTCTTTTTGCAGAAAGGTTATCAAAAAATTTGTGTGCAAAGTCCTGCGGAGCATGAGCTTCACTTTCTTAATACCTGTGTTTTCTTTGGGGCTCCATCTCTGAAATTTAATGCAATGAACTTGAAGGTACATTTAGTTTCCTTTAATTTTGTTTTCTTTTAGCTGATAAAGTAGACATGATTTGTCATTGAATCTTGCTTCCTCATCTGTTCTGTTTTTGATGTGACAGCCTATTTATGTTACTGGAAATAAATACCATCTTAAAGGAGAAATTCACATCGACTCAAACTTACTGCAAGTTATTGAAGATCCATCGGAACACATTTTTGTTGACATTTTTAATAAAGATGATGCTCTTCTTGATACTGTTCATGCTAGGCCTGTTTTGGCTGAGGGAAACATTAGAGGCACGCTTGTTTCTGAGTACTCGAGCTGGTCAAATCTTGGCCAAGAAATTGTCTTTGTTCCTCGATACTCAAGGTGAACTTCAAGCCTTTTATGTAATTTTGAAATTGTCTTTTTCTCCCTGACCAGGTCAACTGCTCCTTTTTCACAGTTGGGATTTTGCAATAACGTAAGCTAGACTTGAGAGATTATCTTAATAAAGCTTTTTACTATGTTCATGTTGGTTTTCTTTTGTGTTTCTAATTTTAGCATAAATAATGAGGGAATGCCTTTTGCTAAAACATAATTCTAGGCAAAATAATTGAAAATTTAAATAAAACAAACACACAAGCTTTTTAATTCTAGTCATTAACTGATTTCCGGAGGACCAGATTATTGCTTTTCCTTTGCATTCAAACTTCACAAAATTCTGAATTTTTCTGAGTAACATAGTATTGTATATTAAAATTTTATTCCTTTTAAACCTTGATATTCTATATATAAAAATTAGATATGGAGTATCGACTGAGTTGTGAAGGATCTGTAGATGTCAATCAATTTAATTGGCACAAGTTTTATAGGACGACTTCTGTTGATGGTGTTTTTCTTTGTTTGCATTGGCTTTTTGTTGTGTAAAATATTCATTTGACTTGCACTTTTATTGGCTAATAATTTGACGGTGTTTCAAATGTTACTAATGTTGTAGCAGATTTTTATATTAGTCAACGTTATTAAAAAAAAATGTCCCACTATAGTATGCAGCCTTACCTCTACTTTGCATAGATGTTATTTCCATGACTTAATTGCGACCTCCAGGATATAATGGAGTGACGTAGCCACTGCTCCAATCCTCCTATCAAGTTATCGTTAGTTTTAATTTTAAGTAATTTTTTATATTCTTATTGTAAAAAATGAATAAGAAATTGGGGAATCAAACTAGTAAGATCAATAGTAATAACGGTATTGAACTTCTGTCAACTTCTTCATGCGATGTGAGATCAAAATGACGATATAAATTGGCAGTCGAAAGAGAAGGAATAATGGTTGCAGCAGAGATCACTGTAAGTGATTTCTGAAAAATTTAAACTTTATTTATATTTAAATCTTAGAGATTTCTTTATAAATTAGATAGAGTTTAGCATTGGTTTGGAATTTGGATTGACAAGTCTACCTCAATTTGACCCAAGTACTTGAATAGGGATGCAATTGAACCAAGCGTTCGACGAGCTACTCGTTGCTCGGTTCGATTAAATCTCGTTTGTGATTATTTAATTAAATAAACAAACAATCTTGAACAATATTTTAGGTACTCGATCCTTAAATAAACAAGCTTGAACATGAATGTATTCGGCTCATTTATAGTCACGAACAACATCATTTGAAGCTCATGAACAAACTTTACATCTAAGTTAAGGGTGGCAAAGATGAGGATGCTCAGGTGGATGAGTGGATTTACCCTTAGAGACAAGATATAAAATGAGCATATATGTGAAAAGTTTTAAGTAGCTCTAGTGGAAGATAAGTGATGTGAAACAATCTCATGCAAAAATGATTTTCTTAATGAAGTTTGCACATTTAGATTTAGAGGCAATAATAAGCAAGATCTTATGCGGAATTGAACGATAAAATAAATATTAAAGTGGTACCTAGATTTGGTTATCTCACATGCATAGAGGTTGAGATCATTAAATAGTCAACTAAGTCTTACTTTGCATACATGGATTGTTCCAACAATAAATTCCAATACTAACAATAAGATTAGTCTATGAAAGATCCCTCACACAACTCTTCTAATTACTAGGTCTTAGCGGAGAAGCATTAACATGATCGTCATGAATTTACTAGACCACAATTGAGAGTCACTACGAAGATAAAAGATCCGGGGGAAGAGTTTAACCAAAGGAAGTAGATTCGAGGCCCCGAGGTGATCGTTTAGGTGCTTGAGAGAGTGGGCAGCAACTTTCAGGGCTTGGGAACCTTCTGGTCGGCGATTGGAGGTCTTCTGGACGTCGAGACAATAGCAGGAAGCTGCTGGGCTTGCTGGACGCACTAGGGGTGACTGGATAGCCACTATGAGGGATTTGACATCAGTTTTGACTTCCCAGAATTCTGGACAGCAACCGGAATTGTCTGGACAGCAAATTCCTATTTTCAAATTCCTGGACAGCAGCAGTTTTTGGTCTTGGACAGACCCTGGACAGCACCCAATCAGGGTCAGCAAGGATTTGGCTTGCTCGTGGTGCTGCTGGACACTTTGGGCGGCAACTTGTGGCTTTCCGGGAGGCAGGACAGCGAGGTAAGTTGCTGGAAAAGGAAGGGACAGCATGCGGAAGTGAGGGAGGGAGGGTTAATTACCATTAGAGTGGCAATTAAAAAGGAGAGAGATAGGGAGAGGAAATTAAGGAGTAATTAATGCTAATTCAAATTCAAATTTTGAATTTGAATTGTCATTAATTGGGAGCATTAAGTGATTAATTGATTTAAATCTGAAATTAAATTTCAGATTTAAATTAATGGTTATTGGCTTAATTGGAGGGACGATTTTACGGAGTAATTAATGCTAATTCAAATTCAAATTTTGAATTTGAATTATCATTAATTGTGAGCCTCTCCTAATTAGGAAATTTCTTTATTCCAAGGAGGAAGAGAGGGGGTGGTGGGGGTTGGTGGGCGTCGGCCTAAGGGATGGCCGGCGGGTGAAGCTGGGCTGGCGGCCAGCCGTGGAGGCTGGGGAGGCTAAGGGAGGTGCCGGGCTGGAGCAAGGGGGGAGAAAACTGTGGAGAGGGATGGGTTAGGCCGGCGGTGGGTGGAGGGGAATGCCGTGGATGGTAGGGAAAAGAGAAGGGAGGAGGGAGAAACAACTAAAGAGAACACCTCCTCAAGAACTTACTAAGAGATCTTGGGATTTCACTCAAGAACTCACTAAGAGAACCTTAGAACTCACAAAGAGATCTCATGGAGGAAGAAAATATCATATTCATCATTAGCCCAAAATACAAGAAACTTAGCCTATAAATAGGCTTCGTGAGAAAGAAAATACGCAATGACTAAAATGCCCTTTGGGCTACAACAACACCTGACTCACCCCTAGGGGTAAAAAGGGAAAAGCAGAAATATAAATTAAACTAGTACATAAATGACAAAAATAAAATAAAATCCATATCATAGCCATTGATCTTCAGATGTCCTCATCAATAAGATTAGAGAGAGTCACCTTAGATTGTTTGGTCACATAAAACGTCGGCCTTCCAATGACCCGGTTAGGAAAGTAGAGATATTAGATTTGACTTGTATTAAGAAAGGTAGAGGTAGACCTACTTGGTTAGAAAATATTAGAAATATTCTTTATTTATTAGATTTAAACGAGAATTTGACTTTTAATAGGACACAATGGAGAGAAAAAGGATTCATGTAGCGGTCCCCACGTAACGGGACAAAGGCTTGATGTTTTTGTTGTAGGTTGAGAAATCATTATATGAGAGGGATTATAAGAGTAGCATCTGCTACATATAATATTTTTGAAAATTTAATAAAGTGGGTTTTCCATTTACATCAAATTGTAGAAGATGTATAATAAAAAAGAAAATTAATGTGGAAGGAGTATGAAATAAATGGGGTAGACCAAACGTATCATATATAAAAATTATTAAAAGATATTAAGAATGTTTGTGGAAAGTAAATTTAACACCATAAGTAACATTCATCAGGAGTGAGTAGAGAATGTGGATTCATAAAGGCATCCCTAAATAATTGGGAAAATAATAATGATCATTGATGATGATTCTAGAGATCCTTGACATTACAAAATTCCATAATATTTTATTTTATTTGACATATAATATTTTTTGATTTTGACATGTTCATTTGCTGTTTATAGTTTAATTTTTGAGAAAACGTTGAATTTTTCACTCTAACCTTCTGCTATCTTCTTCTGGAGTTTTGAGATGAAATCAAGTTTTGGATTTACACTGGGCGTATTGATTGTGTTGATCTTCATATTTATTGATATACATAAATTGCAGTTTACAAGCAGCTTACCTTCCTTTACCTGATGTACCAGTGATATTCAAGGGAAGACGATCCTATTTTATCCAAGAAAGCGCCATGTATGTACATCCATGATATAGTCTGCTGCAACAGCCCGTTTGTAACTTCAATCTTATTTAACTATATTGATTTTCAGGTATCAGTTATAAGTGATGGTTGCCAAGCTACAATTCCCATAATTGTTGGTCGATTGGGGATGTATGTTGAAGGATCAGTCTCTCCACCACTTGATGGTGTTAACATAAGAATAATAGCTGCTGGTGACAGCATCCATTCTCCTTTGCGTACTGGTGATTTGGCTTTGGTTACAGAGACGGGTGCTGATGGATCTTTTTCTGCCGGGCCTTTGTTTGACGATATACTTTACAATGTTGAAGCTTCCAAGGTTTGTATATCTTAAAATTGAAAACCAATGCGTATCATTTTCCCGTATTTGGATTTGTTACGTGCGCTAAATAAATGGAATCTATCCACATTGATCAGGGTTGCAACCTATTTATTCTGCCATTCTTTTTTTGTTAATAAGATCATTCTCATCTTCCCCCTTCCGTGCCAATGAACTACTAGGAAATTTTAGGCATGAACTTCCTCATTTGCAAATATCCCCATAACTTCTTTGATGAGATTGTTTGGTTTATTTTGTCACAGCAGGATCATGTTTATTCTGATATTCATTTTTTCTGTATTTAACTTAGTAATTTGTTTTTTTTTTAAACTTAAGTGAATGGTTTTTACTTTTTTTTTATCTGCAAAATATATGAGGAGAAGTTATAACTGATTTTAGGATTAAGATGCCCCTCTCTGTCTTATTATTTTATTTTCCATTTTTGCCATAGCAAAATGGGAGTATGATGATCTAATGTTTTTTTTTTTTTTGTTCTTTTGTTGCAGCCTGGTTACCATGTTAAACAAGTAGGGCCCAATTCATTTACTTGTCAGAAACTTGGTAAAATAGTAGTGAATGTTAATGATGGTGCAGGGACCGTTAGTTTATTCCCTTCTGTTCTATTGTCTTTGAGTGGTGAAGATGGATACAGGAACAACTCAGTTAGTGGTGCTGGAGGAACTTTCACCTTTGATAATTTATTTCCTGGAAGTTTCTATCTTCGTCCTTTGCTTAAGGTAGTCCCAAATCATATCCCAAGTAGTTGTAATTTAACTGTGATTGCCAAAATTTATTTGGCATGGACTTGTAGGTCATTGTATGCTAATGCTAAAGTTGTACATATTATCATTCCCTGCTATTTTGGATTCATTATGAGCATTAGAAATAGTTAAACTGCCTATTCAACTTTTTTTGGTATTTTTGTTCCAACTTTTCTAAAAGCAGACATTTTGGCATAAGCAAGTTTTATTGAGATAATCATCATGATGTAACTAAGGCCACATTTGAACTTGAGTTTCATCGTCAGTTTTAGTATTTTGATTAATGGGATCCTTATTAGTTTTATGGTGCGTTTGGGACGCCGTCTCTACTATTTCACGGTTTGAGACGTGCGCCTCCTTCTGTTTGGGATGTCCGTAGCCTGCTTTTCGTGGTTCTGAAATGCTAAAATGTCGAAATTATCATTCATCTTTTCAAGATATTACGCCACCTCAGCGTCGAACTCCTCCCCCTCCCGCCTCTCCTGTCATCTGCGAATCGATCTCGCTTAGGATCTTATGCATTGCCACCAGATCACCACGCTTGCCGCCAGATGCAGTCCGTATCGTTGTGCCGCCCCACTTGCCTCACGTACTTCTTGTTTCCCGCGCTCTCCATCTTCTTCCTTGAGTTAGATAGAACCAACGTCGGCGCTACCGCCGCCGTCGGCGACGACAACGACGATGATGCGTTAGTTCTCGAACTTTGAATCATCTACTTGACGTGGGAGATTCCTCTATCCTGCTTGTTTGCAGAGATTAATCACCCAAATCCGCTCAAAATTGAGGGGATCCAAATTTAGAAATTCATTTGAGAGAGTGGAGATTCCTAGGTGAAGTTCTCTCGTATGTGAAAATGTGATGTGAGGAAGGGAAAGAAGACGAGAAGGAGAGAGATGCTGGCGAGAGCTAAAGTGAGGAGGAACGTCCTACCCTTCATCTTGAGCAGTTAGGCCTTCTTCTATGTATCGGCTGAGCTTCTCACATATACGTCTGCAATTTGCTGAACACAATACCTCTCAAGAGTTCTTCAATTGCCTGCAACTCTCAAGAGTACTTCTGGTAATTCTTTTTTCCTTGCCTGTAATTTACTTGATAAAAAAATTGTCCTTTATAAATAGTAATTATCATACATATCTATCATATATTTTCTTAGTTTATTTTAAAATATGATATTACATTGTTTTAAAAAAATCAAGAGTTCATTTATATTTAAAATTCATAAAATATTTAGTTTTTAAAAATTAAGAGTTCATTTATATTTAATAAAAAAAATTCATGCTAATATATAGAAGGGTATCAAGGTAATTTGGTGTTATACAGCAGCAGTACAGCAGCTCGACAGTTATATTACCCAAACAAAATGTATTGATTTATATACAACAACTTCGCAACCTGCTTTACCGACAACTGAAGCCTTCCCAAACGAAGCCTTAGTGCTTGAAAATAAACGGTTGAGTATTCAGTGAAGCAGTTTTCTTGATGTGTCCTGATATTAATTATTTATGGTTTCATCTGTCGTTCTGCATCTCTGATTAAGATTAATTAAGAGTATTGTGGTTAGCTTAAGAAACAATGCATGTACCAAAAAATTAAGAAAACAAGAACAAAAACGGTGTTTACATGCATATACTATATTGGAGGATAGGCAATGGAAAGTGTATGGGTCTTGAGAAAGATTCTTTTTGAATTTATTTCTATGATTTTAAAATTATAAAAAGTAAAATATGTCATCCAAGAACTTCAAAATTTAAAATTCTTAGATGAGATATTGTCCCTCTTTACGAGTAAAAAAATGTCAAAGTAGAGCTAAACAATTATGTACAGTCAAAGTGTGGTGAAATTAATAGTCTTTTTTTTTTTTTTTTTTGAGGGATGGTATATTGGAATTGAAATATCATTATTATAGTCTTATCAAATCATTATGATGCACAGACACGGACACGGCGACACGACACGACACGACAGGACACGCGACACGGACTTTTTATTTAAAATATAGACACGGTTTTGGCGCTGACACGCTAAACTTTTTTTTATATAGCTATATATATTAATGTAATATCATATTGAAAATGTCAAACAATAAATGAATGACATGATAACTTGTCAGCTTATAATATAAATATTTAGTATAAAATATCTAGTACAACCACAAAAATATTAAGCAAAAATAATCACATACTACAACATCAAGCATTTAAGCTTCACTACAGGATTAGCTTTAGAGTTTGTTTTGCCTTTCAATATCATTCATCATTGAATATCACTACTTTCAACTCTGTCAACAAAAAGAAAGATTTTTAATGTGCAAAAAGAGAGGAGATGAAAATATTTTCATTGGCCAAAGAGAAATAAAAAATGAGAATATTCGATGAATTGGTATTAAATGCGGACGTTGATTTGGTGTGTGCGATATGAAATAAGAAATTTAATTAAAATCTCGCCAAATATAAAGAAATTATATTTTAAAAAATTTAAAAATATTTAAAGATACGCGGTCGGAACACGCGTGTCCCAATTGTTTTTAATATTTTTTTAATCGGACCACGTTTTCGCGTGTTTCCTTTCGACACGTGTCGGGGAGTGTCGGTACGAGTGTTCGTGTCGGACACGTGTCGGACAACTGCACGCCTCTTTTGAGAAGATGTCGTTGCATCATAAAATCATTATTTCCTCATTTGACATATATGCTTTTGATGTCAAAGGCAGTAAACAGCATTCCATGCTTACAAAAGCTAATCATCAGAATTTGTAAAGACAAAACAACAAATAGAAAAAATAATAATAATTAAGAAACTAATAATATATCTGAACGCTTATATGTATATTATTATAAAATTTGTACTAATAAAGGAATGTGGAGGAGAGAGGAAGTAGAAAAGTTGATGGGCCTTGACAAAGTTTTATTTTGAGAAGATGTTTTCTCCAACTTTTTAGAGCTAAGAATTTAGAGAGAAAAAAAATCTTCTAAAAGAATTTAAAAAATTGAAATTATTGGATGAGAGTTTTTGAGGATAACATTTTTAAATGAAGCCAAAAATGGTAGCCCAAAGTGGTGAAACTAATAAAGCTTTAATTTTTTCATAAGTGAATGGCATGAGAATCTGAATTGATCATTAAATGTTATTGATTTTTTCTTTATGTTGACTTATTTGGCTTTTGATATTAATAGATTATATAGATTTTCTATGTTTGTATTTAAGACTTTAGTTTGTAATGTGAAAAAGATCGAATTGCTCCTCTAATTTTTATTGAAAGGTCTACTGAATTGAGGTTATCTTTCAACTCTCAAGTATATTAAAGAAAGAAATAAATTGAGATTGAAGCTTCAAAAAAAAATTCAAAGGTATTCTTAAATATAATTAATTATTTTTTATGTTATTATTGTCTCATTCTAGAACTAATGAAATATTAACGGATATGGGATAAAGAAAAAAATATTTATGATTAAAAAGAGTTGATGATAACACTTTGACATAAATTATGAGGATTATTCTGAAGACAATAAAAGTGATGATGAGCTTGCATTGGGTCTTAATCATAAGAGCATGTTTTATTTTTAAGTGAGTTTATTTTGAATCTTGTGTTCCAGTAATGTTATCGTAGAACAAATCATCATGTTCATAATTGACTTAATATTTTATCATTTTTTGTCATTATTTATAATTTTAAATTACCTTATTTTTATTGCTTTGAGACTTATGCCTTGATCCGCCTCGAGGCTAAACCTTTGTTTATAGTTTTGAACTTATATTTCTTAATAAACAGTTTGTCCGTGATAGCACTCTTATTGCTTTTCAAATCTCAACCACAATTTTGTTTAGCTATTAATTAGGGCGTACCCTTGAAGCAACGTGTTGTATGGCTTGAATACAGTAACAAGTGTGCAAGTGTTGCTGCATCGGTGCCCGGGTGCAGTGTTAAATAGGCAAGAGTTCCCACATCAAGGATGGATGTGGGCAAAGAAGCTAGTCCATAAAACTAAAAAATATGAAATTAAAATTATGATAGGAACTTGGAATATAGGTTCCCTTACAGGAAAATTAATCGAATTAATAAATATTATGATTCATAGGAAGTTAAATATTTTGTGCATTCAGGAAACTAAATGGGTTGGAGAGAAGGCTAAGAAAATTGATAGTTTATGATTTAAACTTTAGTATTCGGGTAGGAGTCATACTAGAAATGGTGTAGGTGTTATTATAGAGAAGAGTTTGAAGGATAATGTTATAAAAATTAATATGATTGAAGATAGAATTATAGCTTTAAGGATTGTTATTGATGCTACGATTGTTAATATTATAAGTGCTTATGCTCCTCAAGTAGGTTTGGATATGAGTTCTAAATTAAATTTTTTAAATGACTTAGAAGAATTAACATAAAAGATACTTCTTGAATAAAGTTTTTATTGGAGGAGATTTAAATGAAAGTGTTGGTAGAGAGGTAGATGATTTTAAAAGCATTCATGGTGGCCATGGGTTTGAAACGACAAATGAATGTAGCAAGACCATATTAGATTTTTTTTAGCTTATGATTTTTTAATTGCTAATACTTTATTTAAGAAAAAGAATGAGTATCTCATCATTTATAAAAATGGATATAGTACAACTCAGATTGACTATTTTCTTATAAGAAAATTAGATCGTTTAGATTATAAAGTTATTTCGAGTGAAAATTTATGTATCCAATATTGATTATTAGTTTTGAGCTTTAAGACAAATGGGCAGAAAATAAAAAATAAAGTAAAACGATATTCTAGGATTAGATGGGGGCATCTATAGAATATTAACAGAAATATTTTTTAGAGTAAGATTTTGTCTGTGCATAAAAAAGTGGCTAATGATATTAAGAATATTGTAAAAGATATACTTGGAGTATTAAAGGGAAAAGCTCATAATAGTAAAAATAGTTTGTGATAGAATCCAATTGTGCAAGAAAAGATAAAAAATAAGAATATTTGTTATAAAAATTGGTTT